CTATTAATTTATTTGATTTATAATTGATATTTTTGCTTCTTTTGATATTTTTATTCGTAATCTCTTATTACTTTACGAAATTTACGCATGTTTTCGCAAGTTTACACAAGTTTTCGCTTGATTTTATTTTCACTGTTCGTAAATATTCATAGTTTTACGCATGTTTTCACTAGTTTTCGACTATTTACGTTTTGCTATATTTAAATTTACTATGCCGTAAATGTTTGTAATTATTACACTTACGTAATATTCTGGAGTTATTATAGTGTAAACTTTCGTAATTATTATGCCTATGTAATACTCCGAACTAATCGTAAATTTTCGTAAGTTTACGCTCGCATAAAAACTTGCAAAGGTTTACGCCTATTTATTTTTGCTGATGATGGCAAAAGATTATTTATTTAGAGCTCTTGATCAAAGTCAAAAATCTTGGGCATGTGCCTATTTGCATAAGATCTTTACAGCTGGAATTGAAAGTATTGCGCGTGTAGAGGCATACAACTGGATAATTAAAAAAGGATTAGGATCATGCAATACTTTATGTAAACTTGCAGATCATAGACCAACAGTTGAAAGATGAAGATCAATGGAAACGTTTTCACGAATACAAATCATCGACTACAATATTAACAGTACCTATGGCTAGTCAAGATCTCTTTTCTACAATTAATAAGGTGTTAGACGAATATCTAGCTAAAGCAATAAGTAATGAAATTAAAATAGAAATGAGTCAATGCCTTTTTTTTTGCACAAATAAAATTGATTCTACAAATAAAAACTTAATTCAGGAACAGGTAAAAAAAAATGAAACATAAGTATCTATCTAACAACAAAATTAAATATAGGATATTAAGCAAGCCTACAATAGATTTATAGAAGATCAGTATAATACAAGAAGAATAACACTTCAGTTTATAATCGATGAAGTTGGAAGAGAAGATATAAAAAAAATTTGAAAAATTGATGATTTATATAGTGAAAAAAGGCATTGTGTTTATTTTGTAGTGATTGTTAACCCAATTTCATTTTTATGTTTATGCTTTATGAATATTTTCAAAGACATTATATGCTGACATTACTTTCGCATTATGATGCATTCAAGTATCGCAGCATTCCACATATCGATGATACCTGCGTAGTAGTATAAAGACTCACATCAAGATTGCATAGTATCAGATGAGAATATAGTACTTAGTTATAAAGAAGAAATAATTGAATCAAATCAAAATAGTAGAACAATTTTATCTACATGTAAGCCAGCTATTGTTTCTGTTACGAAGAATACTATTCACAAAAAGCAGCAATATGAGCAAATCTGGGGGCTTGTGCGTGAAGCAACATTGCTCACTGTGGAGAATAATAATGAAGAAATAGTTCCAATCTTGAGAAAATATATTAGTGAAAAAAAAAATCAAGTACAAAGTAGTGCTATTAACCAAACATTAGAATCCCTAGCTAATGATTTAGATAATAAGCCAAGCTCATCTAAAATTGATAAAACAGAAGAATCTAATAGTAATACAGATAAATCTGATACCTTGGATCTTGCTAATGTTAAAGATCCTTCTTGCATTGTTGATAAAGGAAAACTCTCAAAGCGAAAATACCAAAGTAGTGTTGAACAAAAACAAAAACAGCAAAAACGAGGTGGAGGTTCAATTCGTGGTTTCTATAAATGTCACTTGTATAGTTAAGCTGGCTACAATTCAGCATTTCATAAAGGTAAATCAGATAACTATCAGACTGGAACACATAGTAGCTAAAGAAGAGGAATAAAGTAGAAACTAGAAGTATTCACCATATGAGATGAAGTCAATAGAAAAGGAACAAATTTTTTCTAAATAAAAGTTTTCTTGACTTTAAGCTTAAATATCTCAGCAATTATTTTATCAAATTTAATAATTATTTTTTTATTTTAATTCTTTATAATTTCAAAATTAAAATAAAAAAATTTTAAACAAATTTGGTTAATTAGTTGTTGAGATATCTTAATTTAAAAATTTAAAAAATTTCACTAAAAATGATTTGTCCCTTTTCTATTGACTTCACCCCATATGATGTATCAGTGAATATGAAATTTAAAAAATCTCAATTTCTCTAGGTAGCACAATAAAATAGAATTCATTTTTATAGTATGTATGTACTAAGAACTTAAATAGCAACTATCCTACGTATATGTACATACGTACGTACTGAATTTAGCTTCTCCAAAAATAGTAGTTGATTTTTATTTGTTATTCTCAGTGTGAAAACCTGTAGGTAAAAGGGTTTAGGTTGTTATTCAATAGATATATTTATCGTGAGATATGAAAAGTCCCGACTTGACTCCAAAAGTTGAATCTTTATGCTATTTCCAGAATACCTGTTAAAAAATTACATTTGCAAACACAGGTCAAATTGAAAATATGAGTTACATGGTTTGCAAGAATATTGCCATTAATATTGCAATACCTTGATCTACAGTATACTATTTTACTTGGCTAGAGCCATATACAGATATTTTGCTTGATAATTGCAACGCATCTTTAAAAATTTTGTTAATTAATCATATTAATAACAAGAAAGTTACTAAAGCATTAATCGAACTCATTATACGAAACAGTTCTCGAAGCCTAAGTTTGACTTGGGGCCAAACTTTAAAAAATTAACTGAATGATTATCCAGCTGATTTGATGTTATTGCTTTTGGCATAATCATGTACTAATCCAATATTAGATATCTCTAGTTAAATATGATACTTTTGAAGCATATTTGCTGAAGTGTATTGACATTATAATGATAAAACTATTTATATGTAGAACAAGTATTTCATGTATATAAAAATAGTATATAGTAGCTTTTCTGATCATACCAAAATTAATAGTTTATTGAATCAGCAGAATAATTGTTAATATAATGCTAGGCAGATAAATTAACATGAACTATTAATATGTGATAAAAAATTTAGCATCGCATCCCAAGGTGATATATAACCATAATGCAGGGATGCGAAGTCTAGAAAACTCCTATAATAAAAATAAATATTTTTTTATATTTATATTTAATAATAATTTATAAATTAACAAATATATATATATTTATAATAATATAAATTACCAATTTAAAACATTAATTAATTTATCTGTAAATTCTTGTTTCATTTTATCTTTTTCACTTAATACTAAATTTAAATTTTCAACTTCATTATCATTGTTATTATTGCTATTATTATTATTATTATTATTATTATTATTATTATTATTTTCATTATCTTCATTATCTATATCTATATCATCTTCAGTTAATATATTAGCTCCTTTTTCTAATCTAGTTATAAAAAACTTTACATTATACTTAATTCCAGTTTTATAATAATCATAACAATATTTATATCTTCCTTCCATAGCATTATAATATATTATATAATATCCATACCTACAAATTAAAACTTCTGCATCATATTGATTTTTTAAAAGAGTATCACATAAATCACAATTAATTAATAAAGGAATTTTTTTAGTAGAATATCCACAAGGAAGTTGCTTTGTTGATACAGTAATTTCAAGTACTAGTAAATAATAATGAAAAGATTTAAAATTTGTATCTTGATATCCTAAGTCTTTAGTTAAATATATTTTTTTAAAA